TTGCAATTTTTGCAAAGTATCATTGGCCTCATGCTGAGTAAGAAAGAACAAGTACTCTCAAATAGTTGTGGGTACAAATGTTAAGTTTTGGCGAGATGTGTAGTGAAATTCACAGTAGTTGCTAACAATCGCAGTTGGAGTATTATTGTGGAAAAGCTCCAATGAAATAGTTGTGATGTCATCAATGATGCATACCATAATATAGCTTGTCATGAGGCCTCAGGAACAGGCAAAAGTGGTTAAGGGAATATGTACCCGGATTTAACAATGGTAGTCAACATCAATAACCATTTAAAATAGTTAACTCCTAAGACAACAGGTTAAGTGTACTGTCAAACACATTGACATTAAGTTATATGTTGTAAAGGAGAAAATCCAGAATCATTTTGAAAGCATTGAGCATATAAGTACCAAGCAAGTACTTGCAGATCCGCTTAGCAAAGGCTAACCACCCAGTACGTTCAGAGAACACACAGTTGACATGGGTTTACGGAAAAGCCTATGATTTCCGAATATTAAGGGCCTAGTTGAGAATCTGTTTCAAAACAGAGAGGTGCATTGTAGCTGTTTAATCTAATGGCAACTGACCGTAACGATGAGGCACGCTCTATGCACTAATCTGCGATGGAATAGGAAAAAGATAAAGTAAGTTAAGTTTAAGTCATAAGGTGAGATCAAGGGGGAGAATGTTAGATTGATCTCCACCAGTTGGGCCCTTGATCCGTGCCCTAATCGGGGGCGCCCAGCCGTTCTCCTGGCTGATGGATCCCCATCGCACAACGCTATAAAGAGGAAGGTGGGGGCCGGGGCGCAAGGTACGAGATTCACCGTAGCTGCCAGCACCCCACCGAGGTTCCTAGCCCTAGTCCGATATAGAAGGGCGCGCTCTAAGCGACGGAAAGTCCACACCGCCTTCACCATCGCCACTGGTTTGCGCCTACGCTGCTGCTACCGTCGATGACCTAGCGGGCGCCTGCATGGCTTCCCCTACACCAACACGTCGCGGCCACCTTGTTGGCGGCGCCACGGCCGCGATTGCACTCGACGAGGTACATTACCAAGTCTGCTTATCTAAGTTAAGAATTTCCCCACTAATCTACACCTAGAGGTCCTACAAGTGTATCATTAAAATCCATTGTCTATGAGAATGTCACAAGTTTATCACTCCTATGGCAAAATGGTTCAGCTTACTAGTTAACTTGCCTTTCCCTCGACATGCATGCTAGTTAAATGCATCTTTGCAGTCATTCCAAGTCCCACACTCTTGTGCAGCTGCATAGCAAGTACAGCACTCATATCTTCACCAGAAAGGAAATTCATTCCCAGCTCAAGAACCTGTATAAAAGCATTAAAATAAACACAGATTATTGTCAATTGCCCATAGAAGTAAAGGAAATATTCAGATCAAACAAAAGTGGTACCTACCAAATGGTCATCATCTGATGTCTCAGGTAGAACTCTCATGGAGGTAAAGATTGGTGGATTCCTGCCCATGTAAAGCTCCTGAATACCTGCTTTGCTCTGCAGAATAACAATATCAAGTAAGCTACAGAGAATCGATGGATGGAAATGCCTACTTAACGAAACTAAAATGTGACTGTCATAGAAAAACATTGTTAAAGAAGCAGTTCGAGGTAAAATGCCACAAAATAGAGAATATGAATCAGAAAATCAAGATAAAAGAAGGAAACCATACGACTGTCCAAGGTTTGAACTTATCCAAGAACCATGGTATGATGGGCCGTAGAAGTTGTGAAACGATCTTCTCCATGCAGACAGGCCACATCTTGTTGATTGAATAGTTTAACCAGCGTACTGATTCTGCGTCGGAGAGGAGCTGATATATAAAACAATATGAGCTGAATTTACACAGGCAGGAACAGTTATAAAAAAGGAAAAGGAGAAAAATGAAATTTCCAGCCTAGTCAACAACATTTATCCATGAAATATTCAAAAAGTGCAACAGTGGTGGATCACAGAAAAATAAGGTGCATACCCTTCGTTGATAGGCAGATTTCATCTCCTCATGTTGTATCCTCTTCCGCAGTCTCACTGCACAGCGAGCATTTACCTACAACAAGGAGGAGCATTATTGTAACTTAATTTCTTCTGATTATCTGGTATTCTGGTATCATACATGTTCAAGCAAACAACTAGATCACAATATAAAAGACTTGGAAAACAATGTAAGCAGAAAGGTAGAACTTGGAATGAGAAACATGCTAAAAATACAGCAAGTGTCATGAAAAGATGAGGAAGTAAAACAGGGAAAAGAAAGCAGTATGGTCTCAAAATTCTGAACCAGCTTGGAGCTGGTGTTGATGAAGAGGGGAAATTTCATTGCATAACATAGAATAAAAATGGGGAAATTTTCGATACAGTGCCAAGGTGTCTTGATTGGTTCTTGATGAATTGAAATTAGTATATCAGGTCATAAAGGATGAAGGAAATTAGTTTGTAGCATGTGATGCTCTAGAAATCACAATATGATACAATAAATCCTTTAAAAGTGGAAGCATTCAATCATTCATGTAATATCACTCTCGCATGCCATCAACCTTATTGCACCAGCTGTTTCCAGCGATCAACAACAGGGCTGGTAGAAAGAGCAACGTGCTCTTCTCGGACACCGGAGCAGGATCGCGTAGCCAGCAGCGGAGGCGCCCAGCTTCGTAGGTTGCAGCACCGCTCTTAGCTCGGTTGTAGACCCTTTATGTAATATCCAAGCTTGAAATTGGTTGCTAGGACGGTCCACCGCTCTTAATTACAATGATGCGCAAATCTTTTGCGTATTCGAGAAAAAAAACTTATTGCACCGGCACCGTGCCAAAGCAGAATAGTTACTAGTTGCTTGAGAAATTCTATCCTTTGGAAGCTAATTTTGTATTTATCTTTGGGGCATAGAATCAGTAAACCGCGGTTTTGGAAAATAACTATACTACCTAGACAGGAGATAGACTTGATCCTGATGAATTGGATTGGATTAAGTGGAGTAAGAATTTTGCAGCATATGATGTGCCATGCTAATCAGTCAAGCAATGATAGCACGCAACAAAGCTTTCTAGCTGCTGCAAGTGCAAGGTCTCTGGATGTCATGGCTAACTGGTAAATGACCTATAAAATCGTAGCACCCAGAATAGATAGAAAGCAGAGTGCAGAATGAGGTGGCAAATTAACCTTTGAGGGAATTCCTTGCAGCCATTAAAAAGATCACAATTCCCTACGAACCACTGAAAAAAATCAGCGACTTCAACGCCACTGCTCTAACTTTTTTTTTTTTGCCCTCCATGCCACTGCCGTCAGATTTGGCTCTAACGGTCAAACAAACTGCAGGTGTGAAAAGTCGATTTTTTTTTTCCGGAATTAAATGAAGATAATTTTTATATGAAAATTATAGATCTCCACGAGATCTACAACTTTCTAGTTTTGAGTTTTTCATTTGAAGTCGTTAAGATGCTAAAAAAAATTAATGACATATTTAGACCTAAAGGTATTTTTAACTTTTCACATCCTCGTTAGAGCCCAATCTAACGCAGTGGCATGGAAAAAAAAAAAAATTGGAGCAATGACGCTGAAGTCCGCTGAACTTTTTCAGTGGCTCCTAAAAATTAGTATCTTTTATAATGGTTCATAGGGAATTTCCCCTTAACCTTTTGGTGGCACGGGCTGCATCAGAGAAGGCGAAGGAATTTGATGCCAGAAACAGGCAAAAAGAGTTTCATCGGAGAAAGTCTCAGTGAGGGAAATTACAGAAACGGACGAAATACCAAGTACGATGCGGTACGAAAGGCAGGTGCTACTGTTCTTTCTTTTAAAGGGGCAAATCTTTAGTGTTTTAATGAGTATATACGTGAGGGGGGCAGGAAGTAGTAGCAGCAAGTACTCACCATGTAGAGGTAGAGGAAGGCGAGGAGATAGAGGAGGGAGCCGCGGAAGCCGATGGCGGCGGCGGCCCAGAGCACGGCCAGCACCAGGCCGATGTGGTAGACGAGGGGCAGCTCGGCGGCGTCCATTCGCGCTGAGTCCTCCCGGAGGCGAAGAAGAAGAAGTAAAAAGGCGTTGGTTGGCAAGTGGCGGTCTGGCGGGTCGTGGCGTGATACTGCTCTGTCTGCTCTGCTCTGGAAAGAGGGGAGCCCTACCAGACCACCACCACCGCACCACGACGGCCGGCCAGCCGGGCGGGGACGGCGAGGACTAGTAGTAGCAGAAGCCTTGTTTAGTTTCACCCAACTTCCAAAAAAAAATTACTACTAGTATGTAGAAAAAAAAACTTGATTTCTGACAAATTACGAGACAGGGTTTGAAGTTTGAATATTATTTCGCCAAATAAAAACGCGCTTATACATGCCAGCGACAGGGTGTGAAGTGAGAAGCTAACGCGACATGCCGACCAGCCAACGGGCCAGGCACAGGCCCAACAGAAGAAGAAGAAGCTGCGCAGGTGTCAGGCCAAGTGGTACACACGGGCAGTGGGCACACGGCCCGCACGCGGCACGCCTGGTGTGTCGTCACGTGCCTGCCGACGCCGACGCCGCGGCTGCGAAGGCGATCGGATCATCCACGTCTCGCGGCGTTATTCAGCCACTGGTTGTGGGCCTCGTGGGTTCCTTCGCTTATAAGAAACCTACGACTTATAGGGTGGTAGTACGTATTAATCAATTGATTATTACTACCATGCTCTATTATTGTCAGCAATCGATTATTTCGCCTTTTGGCATATTCTCGTAACAAACAGTGTGCCTTTGCGACGGAACGGCATGTGGAACGGTTAAGGCTGGGGCCGAAACGGCCAAGCCGGTCGATCCGAGGGGGTCCACGTGGTGTGCATCGGATGCACATGGGCCATGACGACAGCTGGCCTCTTCCTCCTCCCTCCAGCTTGATTCCTCCCTAGTGTGGCGCTGTCAGGCTACCGGACCACCAAAGTTGCGTGCTCCGGCCTCCGGGAGAGAGGAGAGGTCGGAGTGGGGGCGCGCAGCAGCCCAGCAGGACCCAGCAGGATGAGCGGGGAGGAGGCCGACAGCTCCAAGCCCCACCAGGGAGGCGTATACGGCACCTTCCAGGGGCTGCCCAGCTACCCGCCCCCGCGCCCGCCACCCGTCGGCTTTCCACAGCCCGCCCCGCCGCCGGGCCTCTCCGCCCACCACCGCGGCGGCTACCAGTCCGTTCCCGGTAACGTTGCTGCGATTTCCTTTCTCGAATACTACCCCAATTCAGTTTATAGGCGTACCATTTTAAAAAACTGCGGGATCAAGATCAAGTTTCTAGGCGTTGTTCGTTCAAAAAAAAAAGTTTCTAGGCGTCGTTTGATCTCAACTGTCTGCCCCTATTTGGCGACTCTCTTGCGCAAATCGGGACCAGATTTTCTGGAACCAAAGGAAATTATAGTGGGTTTAATTTACCTTGTTTTTACCAGGATATTAATCCAATTCAGTTTTAGAGCGATGGTTCCATAGTTCGCTAGTACTCCGTGTATGCTTACATCCAAATCCCAGTTTTAGAGTACTTACTGTCAAACCCTTCTTGTCCTAGTGCCCACTGTCTGCAATGTATAGTGCCTGCTCTGCTTGTCAATGCATTCCGTGTATGCTTACATCCAAATTCCATGTTGTTGTTTACCTTGCTCAGTTTGCTCTGCTTTCAGCTCGAGATTACGAAGCAGGTGTGCGGGGACACAGCCATGATCGACTTCCCTGTTGCGGCATTGGTTTTGGGTGGTTCCTGTAAGTCATCATCGCTGCTCCATTTTTCTTTCTCTTTTCATAACAGTTTCATGCATGTGTGTGTGTCAAACAACATTGTCATTCAGTTTGATACTTGGACAGAATTCATGGTACAGCAGTGCTGCTGCTTTACCTTTGTTTCCTTCCTTTTCTTTATTACTCTTCTAATGATAAACTCCTCCCCTTCAAGGTTCATAATCGGTTTCTTTCTTGGTGCCATTCCCTGGTACATTGGAGCCCTTCTGCTGTGGTGTTCCAGAGTTGATTACAGGGAGAAACCAGGCTATGTCGCATGCACAGCAGCGGTGAGTAAACAACCTGCATTACACAACTCATGTGTCATGTGGTCCATCATCAATAAGATCAGATGGTATGGTACTAGTAAATTAAATCACCTCCATGCTTGCTCAACTTCTACTTCCTTTTTCTGTGCATGACTACCAGTAAACTGTGAATCTAATGAGAGTGAGCCTTAAATTTGATGTTATTAGTAAAATTGGACCGCTGTTCATTCATGTTGACACCAGACTCCCAGAAGAAGAAGAAAAATATTAAAGTTAGTATTCATATGACCACCTAAGAAAATATATATAATTCAGTCATCTTGAATATCTTGTTATGGCGACTGCTATGTCATATTCAATGAAGTTTATTCCGGCTATTGACCACTAAAATGCTTGATGGAACTGTTAGTTTGTAATTCATGCACTGAGAGTTCTAACTTGTTTGTATATCTAGAGCCCATTTATGAATTATGAGACAGAAAGGGAGCACTTCCAGAGATGGTGGTGCATTATTGAAAGAAAAGAATGTTTGTCTATTCTCTTGGTATTGCCCACAGCTATCGCAATTCTATAGATGCCCTCATGAATTCTGCATTTGATCACTTATCTATGAGTCATTTGTTAATTGTAATTCTGAAACTTTATCAATTCTGATGAGAATTACTTGGTGTAACAGGCTATACTCGCTACAATTGCTGTTATCATTGGGGCGGCAGCTGGAACTCATGTTTTTTGATTTTAGCTTGCATTGTATTGTCATTGTACATAACGTACATGTACATGTTATCCATGTGTCAAAGAAATCACGCAATTAGCATTGTAATGGATATTTGTTCTGCATTCTCAATTATTCATGTTTATAATAAGGAGAACAGAGACCTTGCTCTTGGCCATAAATAAATCAGACCGACATGGCTCCGCCTTGTGAATAATGAAACAGTATGAATCTGAAAGAAACTGTAAATTTATTGTGTTTACGATTATTAATTGTTGATCTATGAAGTTGTAACCAGGGTTCGCTGGTTGCCACTGATTTCCTGTAATCATGTGGATAGCCAGATAAAAAAAAGCACCAACTGAAATTTGAGAAGGACACGGTGCAAAATTGGAACCTGCAGCCTCCAGTTCTAGGTCTGGTTCTCCTGGTTGGTTACGGCTGTTCGAGACAGCGTTACATGCCAGCCAAGTTTTTTCTCTCGCGGTCCTCAAAGCCATGGTAGAGTAGCTAGGGTTTCACAGCAGCCTCCTCCATCCCCAATCCTCCAACTTCCCACCGGGTCCAGACAAGAAGTAGGCCTCCACCAGATCACGCAACGACCGTCCCGTGTCCCGACCACCCGTGGGCCGTGGCGTGCCACCACCTCGCCGCATCTCGTCTGCGCGCCGCCGGCCTTCCTCGCCTCCACGCCGCCGGCTCGATCGCCTCCCTCCGCGCCTCCTTACCTCCTCGACGTCCTACCTCGCCGTGGAGGTCCGACCTGCTCCGGACATCGGCTCCCCCTTGCCCTTGCATCGGACGTCCCCGTGCCTGCTACCCACGTCGATCGCACGCCCCTACGCCAGACCAAGTGTTGGAAAGATGTTAGCAAGTAAGAGGGGTGCTGATGATACCACCCAATTCTCAAACAAGAATAAAAGAACCTGCGGCGCTGTGACTTGCCTGCTAGTAACAATCAAGGTATTTGGAGTCAGCTGAATGAAGAAGTTGCATCAAATTTGTCAAGAAGTGTTGTCTTAATTGTTTTGACCAGTGGACGCACAAGACATCAATTCTCTGCCATAGCCATAGAATGCCGCAGCAATGCCACAAAGTTTGTGACATCAGGAAGTTTGGTTAGGGCTTTACGGTTCTACCGTTTGGAATATAAGATTGAATTACACTGTGAAGGCAATGTTGACACAGGACATCTCGAAGAACATGATTCTGACCGTCAGCTTGCTGTTGTCAAAGTGAACTCCTCCCTTGATGTTCATTGTGTGCGTCTGAATCTTGGAATGGAGTTCATGCCCCACAAGGAGAACGTAGCTGCTATAGGGCGTGATCTCTTTGGGAATTTAATGGTAACAACTGGGTTGCTTTCATATGAAGATAAAAAATGTCTTGTGTTCTCTGATGCTGATAAATGCTCTGAGAATTGGTTAGGGGCGGCATTTTTTGATTTTGATGGAAACTTTGTTGGTATGAACCACTTCATTTTTCTGCCACCAAGAATAGTTCTCGAACAGTCGACGTCCATGCAAAGGATGGCATTTCGCTATGTTGGCATGAACGGTTGGTTTGAGACTATAAGTGGGGAGCAGTGCCTCCATCCTAAGGCATATGATTGTGCTGACAAGGAAGAATTTCAGGATCTATACTCTTTGGGTTATCCCATTCCATCAAGGAGTATGGTTAATAGTGGCTGGGTTTTGGTTAATACCTTTGAAGATACTTTTGGTCATGTCTATCCGGAAGGTGTCTGGATTAGTATCAGGAAAAGAGTTTCTTCTGAAATATCTCTAAGTGTTGTGGCACTTGCTTCTTTCAATGGCAAGACAAGGTTTTTTGCATGCACAGGAGTTTTTGTTGACTTCGACTATAAATGTCCAAGTATTCTGACTTCAGCGAGCTTGGTTAGGGATCCTTATAATCACAATAAGATTGTTGAAGGCTTGAGGATTGAAATGTTGCTCCCAAACAAACAGCGTGTGGATGGGACATTGCTACATTACAGTTTACATTACAATGTTGCTCTAGTCAATGTCAAGGATTGCTGCGCTCGCTATCCTGTGAATCTTAAACATACAATTCCTCTCGAACTTGATGAGAGAATAGATACAAAGGTATTAGCTGTTGGGCGGATCTTCGAATCAGGCACATTAATGGCTACAAGTGGAATACTAACTGCTGATACAGGCAGTCTTGACTGTAGTAAACTTTCTTACTCCACATGTGAAGTCACTAAGGTCGGTATCGGAGGGCCCCTTGTTGATGTCGATGGTAATTATATTGGCATGAACTTTGTTGGATTGAATAAGGAAATAGGAACGGCATACCTGTATTGTGAACATCTCCGCAGAATATTGGAATATTTCGACACAAAAAACAGTACGTATTTAAGGGCATATGGTTTGAAGGCCGTTGTTATTGAAGATGGCCAGAGACCAATAAACATATGGCCAGTTCCTGTTCCACAGTGGTGTCATCCAATTGAGCTGGAGGATCATATGAATGATAAACGTGAAGATCGAGCCAACGGCCTCCCAAATTCGTGCTCAAGTAGTCGTTGCTGTACCATGTAGCCCCTGCTGGAGCTTGCTTGAGTTGGCATGTCATTAAGTGTTTTTATCTGATGTTTGAGCCTGTGTTATGTAAGATAAAATGGTTTGTAGCATTTTTATTGATGTGTTAAAGAAACATCCTGCAGAACTTTTAAGCTTAAACATCCTAGCATTTTTATTGAGTTTTTCATCCTGAAAGGATGTAATGGTGGCAAGGTACGCATGCTAGAAAAAGAGTTTAGCGTCCACACAAAGGAAACAAATTAAATGTACGCTAGAACAGAAGAAGATATACAGCCTGTTCGTTTCGGCTTATACGATCATAGATTATAAGCTAGAACAATATTTTTCTTTCACACCAAACCAGCCAGTAGTACTTCTGGCTTATAATCCATGATCGTTTCAGCCGAAATGAACAGGCTGATAGTAAGAACTCAGATAAGTTGCAAGAGATTGAGCTCTTAATCAGTTGAAGATTTACATGTCTTCTTGTCTAGAAAAGATAACTAAGGCATTCTGAGAAATAAGTACTATTGACTTCCCTATTGTTGTTAGACATAGAGGGACTTAAGGTGCCTATACATGAGTTTGCTGTCGTGCACGGCCAAGTGGAGCTCGGAATCATCGGACCACCATTGCTGCAGCCCGTGAGCCTCCAGGAACTTGCTTGGTCCTTTGGCAATCACGTACAGCTTGGAATGCACCCCAGAACGCTTCTCCGTGGTGACGGCAGCGACACCGCTACGATCAGCGTAGAAGCAGCAAATGTAATCGCAGCTGTTTATGTACAGATTTGGCACCCATCTTTTGACCTCCTTGTTCAGCTCTTCTTCTCCAACTTCAACTTGAGAGGCGGCTTGTTGCTCCTCTCCTGGGGAAACATTTGATGAAGAGCTGCTGCCGCTTCTACTTATATATCGCTTAAGGACACTGCTGGCTTTCTCCTGAAATTTTCTGAGGCCCGTGCCAAGTGACACTGACGGTGGGTTAAACAAATGGCACTCCACAAAGGTTCCATCCTTGGCCAAGGCCTTGCCAACCTGCAGAGCAAAGCCTGCCCCCAGGGAATGGCCGGCAACGCACACATTGGCGCTGCCATGCTTGTGGATTGCCAATTTGAGCACCTCCAGCGCACCGGTGAACCTGACGGAACCCCTCAAACTGTCCAGGGCAAACAACCGAAGGTCATCTTCCAGGTCTCTCACCACAGTCAGCTGTTTCAGCACGGTCCCCCTGAGAGCGAGGACTACCTTGGGAGCACCTTGAGGCTTGACCACTATCAGATCAGCGAGGGCAGCGAGCTGGTCCCATTCTAGAAGTGCCCCGTAGATGGATCCATCTCTGGAATCGATGAGAGGGCGCACCAGCTTGTATTTGAAGGGCTTCCACCAGTTGGGAGCGAGGGCAGCTTCACCAGTTCTGCTCTCCTGCCTGTCCAGCTCCAGTAGATATGCGGCCTGCACAAAGCACGACATTGCAATTCTTCTGTAGTTTGGATCTCTCCTGCAGAACAATGTTCGTGCGTCACAGCGTCAGTATAACAGTATTACAGACATCACTAGCTTTGTTCTCAAGAATACCAAATGCTACTGCAAGAACAAGACCTCAACAAAAGTAAAAAATAGTTGGTAAAAGGATCGAGACAAGCACAGGAGAGGAAAAGGAAATAGCAATAGCAATGGCACATGCTCTTGGGACAAAATTCTGGGACTAATTTCAGCTATACATGCATACTATACATTGCAGCAGAATTATGTGAACATGGATATATTCAGAAGACACTTATGAGTGCTTTTTCGCAAGAACCAAAAAGAGACACTAGAGTGGCCTCGGAAGATGGAATTATTTCGGCATTAGTTCCTATGGTAAGTACAGTACAGGTAGAGTAAACATCGGACGGAACCGAATTATACCATACTAATTCCGTAATTCCGTAATTCGGTTAATTGATCGGTCAGATCGAAATCGACACGCGCGATGGAAGAGAATGAAGGACCAATGGGTCCGTGAAGTGAAGGTACTCCGTACTAATTATGGAAGGAAATGGAAATGGGGAGCGAGAGGGGCATACCAGCTGGAGCGGATGAGGTCCCTCCAGCCCGGGGTGGAGAGGTTGCGAGGCCCCGTCGCGTGGAACTCCCACGACACGGCGGCAGCGGCGGCCGGCGGCTTGCCGGCGGCGTTGCTCCCCATGTATTCTTCTCCCCGCTCGCGCTCACTAGGGCAGGTGGATTGGCGGGGAAGTAGGCGAGCCGCGTCCCCTGTGGGGAACTGCCGCCGATCCGAGGGAGAAGAAGGAAAAGGGAAGGCGGGGACTCATCCGGCTGGACCCTTGTGCTCACTGCCTGACTCAGAACAGGTCAGAATTAAACCCAGACCCCAACGGCCTAACCCAGGTCTACAAGCAACCCCAGTCCGCAGACACAGGCGGTCAAGGGTTCACCGTCACACATGCTGAGTGCTGACAGACTCCGGGTTCTGATCCGTGAGGCATCGTTTAGTTCATCCTCAAATATAAAAAAATAATTAATTACACAGTTTACGATTAATTTGCGAGACGAATCTTTTAAGCCTAATTAGTCCATAATTTAACAATGTGGTGCTACGGTAACACATGTGCTAACGATAGATTAATTAGGCTTAATAAATTCATCTCGTGGATTACTAACTGTAATTTATTTTTTTATTAGTATCCAAATACCCCATGTGACATCCTCATGTGACCTCCGATATGACACGTCAAAACTTTACAACAAAGCCTTGAGTCTATGACATCGTCACATGCATTTCCACGCTTTTTTGTGTTTGCCATCGTCACTTCTTTTTTTGTGCGCATATCATATTCATAAATTTTGATTCATTTCAGTCCAATTATGTAAAGAATTAAGAACGCTAGAAATTAGTGTTAATGTATTTTTGGTGGTTGAACCCTCGTAAGAAGATCAAGCAGACATCAAATCATTACGAGATCACAAGAACACTAGAGGCATAAAATTACTAGTAGCCCTTCAACTACACACGCTCGCCTTGAAATATAAGGAATAAAGAGTCCAAAATTTATATCAAGATATAAGGTATTCTAAATGTTCAACTCCATCTTTCCTTTGCTTTTTGGCAGCCTGGCAAGTGATATTGAGAAGCCTTATATTTCAGGACATATGGAGTATCTCACAGGTTTTCAAACTACGAAAATGTATATCCAGATCCATAAACTATTTAAACACCTCAATCCTGATCTTCAGTAGACACATCACATCATAAATTCTAATGATGCGTGGTCAGTAACTTATAATTAAACGGCATTCCAGCATGAGACTGACGTGTGGTCCATAACTTATAATTACATGAACAGTATTAAATTTCTATATTATTCTCATTTAGGTACGAAAAACTATAAAACTAGTAGAATATATACCATGCACGTTGCTACAAGAATCGCAGATAAAGTTATACTGCTTATATTTACTTGTACGAACGAATGGATATCATAATACATATTAGTGGATATTTTAGCACTCTGATGTGGACAACTAAACTTATGTTAGTGAAATGATGCGTGGTTTGCTCATGTGAATAGCTTGATGAATACATAATTGTATGTGCTAGTGAATACTAATGTGAACAGCTTGCATGATGAGATAGAATATTAATGGGGATTGAAAATATAAGATGTGTAGATTTGAAAATATATAGAGACAGAGATAGAGATTTGAATCTCTAATATATGTATTAAAGTATCCGATAAATCTATCAAAGTATTCAATCATGGTCCAAAGCACCTATCTATGCTCCACTCAACCGATCGCCACATCTTGGTTACGAGGGTCTGGATGCCATGCTCAGGTGCATCGAGGCCACTACTATCCTCATCATGGACCGCTACAACAATTACCACGCCCGCGACCTGCTCCTCGTCACACTGTGGCAGGCACATGACACCACCACCTCTGTGCTTGGCGTTGAACTCTCCTCCTAGTGTGTCATGGTGACTTTAACAGTGATGCTTGCCGGAGACGGATGCCTTGCTCGCCTCCATAAAGCTAAAATAGTCGTCTCCAAAAAGCTCTACAGTACTAATGGATTAAAGGGGTGTTGGGTTGTCTCATCGGATGTTTGGACACATGCATGGAGTATTAAATATAAACTAATTACATAGTTTGCGACTAATTTGCGAGATGAATCTTTTGAGCCAAATTAGTCTATGATTTGACAATGTTTTGCTACAGTAAACATGTGCTAATGACAGATTGATTAGGCTTAAAAAATTCGTCTCGTGGAGTATTGACGGATTATGTAATTTATTTTTTTATTAGTATCCGAACACTCCATGCAACATCGTCCCGACACATCTCCTAAATTTTAGTAGCTGGATCCAAACACCCCGTAACATTGTCGAGTAGAATGAGTTATGCAGGGTTTTAAACATTTTTTTATTGGAGTAAACAATCTAGTGGAGTTGTCACAGAGGGCACGGGATTAATTTTGTTGCATGGTAATCCCTCCGCCAACAAAAGATGCAATTATGAGATTTGTACAAATTAAACTAGCTTAACTTTGACCAAACTTATATAGTAAATAATATTAGCATTTATATCTCCAACTAATTTTACTACAAAATATATTCCAGAATTAATTTAATTGTACTTATCTTACATCATAAATGCTACAAGATAACTATAGTCAAACTTCAAATCATTTTGATTTTTGAAAAGTGAGAATTGGACCACGGACAAACGGAGTACATACCTCCATGTTCATTTCAGAATCACCGATGATTAAACTAAATCAAAATAAAACACCTGTGATTAGCCACTGTCTGTAATGCTTTGACTTGGTACTAGAGGAATTCCTCCCCAAGAAGTCAAAGATAGAGGGGATGGTCAGCTGGCTGCCTACCTGGCTTTGCCACACCTATAGATGTCCATCGGGCCAGCACGGGCCCGTGCCAGGCACGGCCCGATGGGGGGTGGGCCGGCACGGCATATCGTGCCTCCTGGGCTGTGCCCAAAGAGGCCCCGTGCCTAAAGATGTGCATGCAGCCCGTGGGCCAAAGGCCCGACCCAAAGCACGGTTATTGGGCCCGACTCGAGCACGGCACGGCCTGAACCCTAACCGGGCCCGTGCCGGCCCAAAGCCCGTAGCAGGCCGGGCTTGGGCTGAGGCCTCGGCCCGCCGGGCGGCATGGCCCGGCCCGTTTTACAACGGTCGGCCCGGCAGCTGGAGGGGCTATATAAGCCCCCCGCCCCGGCGGACCCCCACCTTCGGTCATTCCCCCTCACTCCGCCCACGCCCGCAGTCGTTCGCCCGCCACCTCCCAGGCTACCGCTGCCGTTGTAACAACCCAAAAATACCAACTACAAAATTTTTCTTAGAACTCCCATGTGATGATGAGTGTCATGTATAGTAACCCAACCTAAGTGATGCATTAGGTCTAATCCCAACTCAAGTCAACACATAAGCATGGCATGCCATTTGTTGATTATGTTTATTTAAATTCTAACAAATAAAGTATTGCATACATTGTTAATTCAAGTTGTGATTTGGATTTCCATTTGCTTTATGTTATGCTAAACAATTCCATTAAAGTAATAAACCATAAAGTTAATATTAAACAAAATTCCCTAAACTCCAATTAATAAGTTACATCAGTTTTGAATTCATGATTCTAAACCAGATTTGAATTCAAACAAGGGAAAAGAAATGAAAGACAGAAAAAAAAGAAAAAGAAGAAGTGGGCCTCCCAGCAAGCCGGCCCAGGATGCCGCTGCTCGCCTGCGCGCCCAACAGCCCCGCCAGCTGTCGCTGCCACTTGGCCCCATGCGTCAGCCACACTCCAGCACAGTGTCGTCTTCCTCACCCACACCTCAACCGCCTACGCGACCGGCGCCCGACAGCGGTGGCAGGGCGGGCCAGGGGGTCACGCCCGGGGCATGGCCCTGTCTCTCCCTTGCGCCGCGCCTACGCCACCGCACGTGAGCCATTGGATGCCACCGAACACGTCTCCACCACTCGATCACCGTCCGTCATGGGAGCATGAAGCTCGGCTATAAAGCTCGGTCCTCGGTTGCCCTAGCGCTCATCCCATTGCCCGCCGCCACTTGGTGGCCAACCACTTCACACTGAGAGTAGAAGGCTGAGGAAGAGTTCGGGAGAGAAGGGCGGAGCCACTGCCGGGAACAGGACCGGGAGCACGCCGGGATTCGAAGCACCGCGCAGATCAAGTCGGAGCGAGCAACACTGCACGGCACGGCTTTCGGAGCTACACGGCCTCGACTCTTCACTGCACCGCTATCCTCTCGCCCTCAACACCGACGGTGAGCCCCGGTTCTTCCTCTGCTCGCCGCTAGACCATACCAAGCCGGCCATGGCGCTCCATACTGTGAGCGCGTAGGCCAAGGTCATCTCCGGTCTCTAGGCACACCAGCACAGCACGCTCACGCGCACACCGCGACCACCTCCGAGCCCTTGGATGTTGTAGACCCCTCCAAGCCCCACGGATGCCAAGGCAGAGCACTCGCTCGTCGCGCTCGCAACGCCGCCGTCGTGGCGTGGCAACCACCGGCCAGAGCACCAGACCACCGTGGCCACCATTGGCCAGAGCACCAGACCACCGGCCAGAGCACCAGACCACCGTGGCCACCACCGGCCAGAGCACCAGAGCACCACCACCACCGGCCCAAGCACCAGACCACCGTGGCCAGGTCCGCTGGGAGCGCCTGGCGTCTCCTTGTCTCGCCCATCCTGTTCGTTGGAGCCACGGGTAACTCATGCGCACGCCGTGACCACCCCGCTGGAGCCCCATAGTGCACCCGTACGCCTCGCCGTCGTCACCATGTCGTCGTGGCCGCCGGAGAACCCCCACCGGCCACAGGAGAACCCGAACCCCGCCTTGAGCCTGGACGTCCTTGCCGTATCCCCATGAATCCATAGAAGCTTACATGCCCCCATCGGGACGTTTCACCATGACCGTAGCCACCTCACCGACGCCGTCATCGTGCTCGGAAGGTCGCCGCCATGGCCAAGGCCACCAGAGGCCCTGGAGGACCCCTCGACCTGCCCAACATGCCCGCTGGAGCACTATGACTCTCACACGCACCACAGAACCGGCCTATGCCGCTGCACCCGCGCCACCCCCGCACGCCGGTTGTGCTTGAGCCGCCGTTCGCCATGGCCAGTGACCTAGGAAGCACCAT